AAAGCAGGGTTGGCAAATGTGCTGTCCATTTATGGTCTATTGGTGATTTATTGGGTCCATTAGTGTAATAATAACCATATTTAATATTTTATTAATGGCAATGGACCAGTCAATTTGTTAATCCTGGATCAAAGCACTGATCCCATATTTTAAAGAAATGTGTGACATGCAAGAATGGCAAGCAAGATATACAGGATTTCTCATTAGAAATATTTATCAGTGAAATAGATTCTTTTAATTTGTTGTCTAAATCAACAAAATTTTGTGATGATCAATCTCCAACATTGATATTACTGATTTTTGGATGTTTTTGTTAATTTCCATTTAAGAATGCTTTCCCAAATAACTATCTCATCAACAGAAAAGTAATATCATTTTCTTTTGTTGCATCACTTAATGCATTATTAAAAACAGACAATGAGCTGATATGTTAGATGTATGTGCACAACCTCTCATTAAAAAAATTATTTTGGTATAAGAAATAGCCGATCACATAATTAAATCACAAAAAAAAAAGGAATACCCAAAATTATGTCTAACTTTCTTTTTAACTATGTAATGATAATTTATTCAATTAATTAAATCTGGTTATATATTTATTATCAGTAAATAAACTAATTATAGAAAAAAATATAATGCTTAATAATTTAACACTGTTTATTTTTTATCAATTATTTGAAAAACTTCCAATAAATCTCCAATATATGCTATTACAACTTACACATTCTAAGTACTTTAATAAGTAAGCATCTTGTAATTTGAAAGTTCTTTACTTCAATTCCGAATTTGAGTCAACGTGCATGTTCTAAATAAACTCGCGAATTGTTACCGTCATTTTCAAGTTTACTAGTGATAAACAATAAGAAATATTCCTTGTTGATTTTTAGATTATACAACTGTTTCAATTCAGATAAACAATTGTGGATTGGATGGTAAACAAAGGATATTATCAACGATCGTTGATAATTATTTGTGTTGCAAGAGAGAAACCTGTAGATAGAAAAATTATTGTTATTATAATTTATTTGAATTGTGCTTGTCTCAAATAAATTCTAAATCAAGGCTACGCCTTTGCATTTGTAATTATGTTATTTAAAATAAAAGAAAATACATTCATCCTACAAATTACACCAAGTTGTAAGTATTCCATTCTCAAATAC